AGAATCAAACTGGTGACCTTTTGTTTCAAAGGAGAATGCCCAACCAACTGAGCCACACAAGTTAGGGCTCTAAGTACCTTTTGCTTCCCTTCTCAACTTTATATGTAGAAATTCATTCTATGGAAGTAGCATAGATATTTTTAAAAACTTAATTGCTCAGATGTTCTTTGAAACTTTCTTTTAGAGGAAAAATTAAAAACAGATTAGATGCTCAATATTAGGAGCCTGGTTAAAGGGACTTTGGAATATTCATACGGGATCTTCTCACAACCATGTATGTGAAATTATGTAGAATATGTGATGGTATGAAAGAAAGCTCACTTGTGACAAGTGGGAAAAAATGAGGCTATGGGTTACAAATAGTGTACAATACATGGCAATACAGTAAATATCAAAAACCATATACTACAATGTCAAATGGTTAAATATGGCCAATGTCAGAAAATGGACAATTTTCTTTACTTCTTTTTGTTTACTTGAACATCCCAGGTTTGTGTGTTTTTCCCCTGACAGTTTTTTTAAAGAAAACATATGCCAGATGGTAAAGACTCCCAATATCTGTGTTGAGGTACAAATATTACAGATGGAAAAAAAGAGGGGGGTCACATACTAAAGCTTACAAGCTCAGGGGAGGCCTGCATGGCAACCTCACAAACTCAGATGGAAAGAAACCACATAAGATGGTCTGAAATTAAAACTCTCTAACTAAAAGCAGTTCATGGCAGGCAGTCATATCCTAGGCCAGTATTTTCCCTGACAAAGGTTAATCTTTACCTTAATTGAGCCTGCCTGTGGTCTTTTTGCATCTAGGATAATATACCTTTGGAATGTCAGGGTAATTTCTGAGCAGAGACCACAAATCCCATAATGGTTATTGTTATTTTGTTAATTATTGGCTGTTAACTATCCTGTACCCACAAACATAAAAGGAGTACCAGTTTGTGTCTATTCCTTTTACTTTTTATCCAGTCCCAGAGATTTCCCTCCTTTGCTTTCTCTAGCCTCCCTAGTCTATCACCAATAAATTTCACGTAACCCCAAACATCTTCCCTTTTGATTCTGATGTATGAAATAAGTGATAATAATACCATTTTCTGGAGCATTTTCTCAATGAGTTGAGATTCTGCCTTCCTCCAAGTATTGTCAGTTGAGCTCAAATAAACTTAGAAAAATTCTCTACAGGTTTGAACATTTCTTTTGTTGACAATACAAACAAAGTGAATGTGAAAGCATTTAATAAAACTGAATTCCCTACTATATGTAAATGGGTTCAGTCCTATTAATGCAGATACAAAAAGGTAAGAGAATTAAAAACCATGGATGTAGACAGCCAATGACATTTTCCCATATTACACAGATTTAACTGACCCTTCCTCAAGAAGATTCCTCTTGCACACTAGAAGTTAGTTTTTCAGCGTTTATAAAGAAATGCAAACATCATCACTTTAAGTTATATCTCAGTTACAAACATCATCACTAAGTAATATCTAAGTTCCCCCTAAGAGGAAGGGGATTTTTATCTATGTAGCAATTAAGTGAAAGAGAAAGTATGAGCTAGCAAAGGAGTATGCAAGGGATATGAACAAGAAACCAGCCCCATTATTTAGGGAGAGCTGAAGGGATTTCGATGACCAGTTACATGTTTGTCTGATATCTGTGTGGCAGGGGACAGGACAGACTTACTCTACTAGTGACACCGGCAGACTCTGCTTTGCCTGGAGTTCTCCCAGGTTCACAAGCACCACTTTAAGGTAAAAGAGTATTAAGGTATTTTAATGAGGCACCCGAACTCAATTTTTTTAACATAAAATAATTACACATTTTTCTGATTTAAAGCATGCAGCTCAATTATGTAATTGCCTACTAGGTTATGAGGGTGCTGTAGATTTTATCTAGTCTTGGGGGGACATAATTGGAATTTCAGGTCTTTAATGATGTATTTACTCAAGAGATGGATTGACTCCCGCTGACAGCAAGGGTCCCCACAGGTAAACATTATTTACATGTGGCTGTTTAATTAGCTGTTTACCCAAGAGATCAAAGTAAATATTTCTGAGCTTCATTAGACTCTTACTTAAACAAGTAATTGCTAGTAGAGCTTCCTTAAATTTTGAAAAATTTTTACTTTTAAGAATTTTATCTACAGAAAAATATTTAACTCATATGATTTACTGACCATATTGTATGTATTGTTTCAACACAGGGAAACAATTCAAAGTTACTTGATTTTGCTAATTGTAAAAGGATGATACATAAAACAAAAACAGTCCTAGAACTCAGAAAAGCATTTTTCTTAAAACTCCCAAGGCTTGCCCTGCCCATATCATTTTGGTAAATGGGGCTGTGCATTTCTTTGGGGCTATTAATTTCTTCCATCAGAACCTGTGAAACTGCTTACTTATTTCTATCTTTAAGGATATATGTTGTCATTAATATGTTGGTAATTTTTATGATTGTCACTAAGATGAGATCATGATGACTTAAAAAGGAACAAAACAGAATATCATTTAATTCCTAAGTTATTAGTTGGGCAGGTCCCTCTCATTTATAGTGGAGTAATTATTTGAAAATTGTAAGTGGATTGGTTGGCTGGAATTTGGAATATATTTTCTAACATAAACAAAACCCTTAAAAAAAGGTTAGATAGCAAAGGGCATTCAATCAATACTTATTTTCACCCTTGACACAGCTGAAATATAATGTATTTGCTGTTAACAATGTTACCACAAAATAGTACTAAAAAAATAGACGATGAAATTTGAAAAGAAACTTAAAATCTACATTTATCAACAGATATGGAATGGATCTAAAAAACATAGGTTCTATTATTCTAAAAAACTGTTGTTTCTAAAGGACATTTATACAAATGGTATCATATGTCAACCAAAACAAAACTATATGTTATTTACTGAGTCATACATTATGCAGTAAAATGAAAATGTGTGCAGAAAGTATATATACAAAGTTATTTCTGAAAAGGAGCATGGCATCCCAGAGAGGCACATGGGAGGTGTATCTATAGCTGCAGTACTTTATCACAGAAGAAGGAATGGTGAGAGGAAGGAGACCAGAGGAGGAAGAAAAGAAGAGGACAGAGGAGAAAGCAGGAGAAGGAAGAGAAGGGAGGTGAAAAGAGAAGAAAAGAAAGGGGGAAAAGGAAGAGAAGTAGGAAGATAGGGGAGAGAAGAAAGATGAGGATATGTGAAACAATATAGTATGATGGTAACAAGTATGAATTTGGGTTGGTGGGCATGGGACTGGTGGGTACACTCTGTGCACATATGTTTGATATGCTTTTAAAAAGTCCTTCTATTGTATTTTAATTTAAGCAACAAGGAAAGGGCAGGGAGCTGAGAAGAACTGAAGGTGCTCTGAAAGACTTGAAGAGGTGATGGCAGAGGTTCTGGACCACATAACACAGGTGTATGACTCTTGAGATAGAGGTGGCAAGGTTTGCCTCCAGCAGGGACACACTGAGAATCCTTGAACTACATACATGATAAAAATAAAATGTTAGAAAGTATCAAAGAGAGAAAACCCTGTATTACAGATGCTTCTAAGCTCCTTGAAAAATGGTGTGGTAGATGCATTTAATTAGATTATCTCTAAACCTCATATAACTTTATATAAGGAGATAAGTTTCCTACACAGAACAATATGCCAAAGGCCTGAGATCAGAAAGTTGAAACAAACAAACCACAATACTGTTACAGGGTGCAGCCAAGAGGGGGGACCCCAAATGGGCATTTGGAATGGGGTCCAGAACTCAAGGTGTCCAGGAGATTTTAGGATGTCCTCACCTCCCCCCTCTCACCCCCCACCAGGGTGTGGGTTGGGGGAGGGGACAATTGAGCAGGGCCATTGGGAGCTGTTTTGCATAGCAAGGGCCTTGCAGCTACCCTCTGGCGTGGTCATTTAACACATCTATAACCTTTAACCGGTTGCTTAGATGTGTTGGATGGCTGTGGCCATGCTCTGAGCAAGGGGAATGGAAGTAACTTCCCCACCAGGACGTAACTAGGGGGCAGGTCCCCCAAGTTACAGCGCCTGCGTGGAAGCTTAGAGATGATTGGCTCCATGACATGGGCCACACTTGCCCAGACCCATGATGGTAATCTAGTAAAGGTGGAAGGATATAAGTTCTGGCATGTGAGGCCGAGTGTGGGAGGAGTCAGAAATGGGGCTGCAAAGGAAGATTGGCATGGGGATTTAAACCCAGATGCGGCAGCCATTGGAGAAAAAAAACACGGCTTTAGCAGAGTGGAGACTCCTGCAGCCCTGCGAGAGAGAATCACCATGCGGCTTTAGCAGAGAACCGCCACTTACCTTTGGCAGAGTGGCGACCCCCCCGCAGCTTTGTGGGGAGAAGCACTCAGGTTTTGGCTGAGTGGGGACTCTCGTGGTCCTGGGAGAGAGAACCATGCAGCTGAAACGGTAGAGAGAGGACCACGTGCCTGCGCCAGAGTGGGGGCCCCTGCAGCTTTAGAAGGGGGAACCACCACCCAGCTTTAGCAGAGATCCCAGCGACTCAGCTGAGGGTGTCGGGAACCCAGGGAGGTCTCCCAGTTGAGATGGAGTGCTGGGAATAACCAGAGGACTGTCTGAGCCATGGACTTCTATTTCCTTTCCTGAGATACGGTACTTTGGACTGGGCAAAGGGGGAAGGAAGGACTGTGTGTGTTTGTGGGTGTTTTAAGGGCCTTTAGGATTTTTGATGAAGACATTAGGTCACTACTTTAAGTCTGTATAGCATTAAATAAACATTTCCTTTCCTTTTCACGAATCTCTGGCATTGAGAGACGTCTTTCCTCTGGTGGCGGACATAACGGACCTGGGGGCTTCTTTCAGTAATAGTATATTGTCCCAGGCGCCCCCCCCCTTGTTTTGTTCTGTAACAATACCTCACATATTAGTTATTTTTTCAAATATATTAAGAATGTAATTATTTTCTCAAATCATTATCTTGTACATCTTAAAACTATTTCTAAAAAATAACTAACCTTTGTCCCCTGGTCCACGTTTTTGACTAGGAAAACTTCAGACAGTTTACCTATTTCTTCTTTGACAGAATTATCATGTTCTTTCAAGGTGGAAACATGCTGACCTAATTGTGCCCTTAATAAGCCCGAGGCACATGCTTGTTCAGATCTATAAAACAGAAACAGGAGAAACATTAGAGATTTGTAAGACTGAGTTACTTGTGAGATTCCCACATTTTAAAAGGTCCCATGACAAAATTAGAAGACAGGTTATCCAGAGAAGCCTGGAACCTAATTTATTCTGGACTAAGGTAATTTCTAGGTATACCTTTTTTAACTTTTATTTTATTTGGGTTATGATGTCATTGTTAGATGAGTTTTCTCAACTTCCAATGCATAGTGGAACCACTTCGGAATCTGTGAAATCTAGGTGCCTGGTGCTACTCCCTACAGAGTCAAGTAAAATTGGTCTGGGGTGTAGCCCAGTATGGAATTTTTTAAGGCTTATAGCATGTCGTATTAAGCAACTATTGTTTCAAATTACTGTATAGATGGGCAGGCTCCTTTTAAATGTGGTTAGAAGAAATAGATCACATTTCCATCTTAACAATAGTTTATCTTTGCCATATATACTCTTACTATGGTCTATTTATAATTTACAAATATAGTATTGGGGAAGAGTTAAAAAGTAAGCCTATCTTGCTATCTAGACAATGGTATTTAGATACTAAAAGGAACCAGTGCCCCTTAGAAAAATTCCCTATTCCATGTCTGGGGCAGGAAATATAGAAGATAGCCTGGAACACCTTATCATATCAGAAGGTAGGGAAGCTCTCAAAGTCTACTGAGTCATGTCAGAAGCCTCAGGAGCTATATTGGAGGGGCTCCCACTGGATACAGATGGGACAATTTCAGCATGAAAAGCAATAATGGTTAAAATGGATTGACAAAGATAGTGTACAAAAAGCCATGAGTTCTTTTTAAAAATAAATAAAAATAAAATAGAATAAAAAACCTTTGGATTTAGCCTTAAAAAAGAAAGAAATCTTGTCAAATGCTACAACATAGATGAATCTTAAGGACATTAAGCTAAGTGAAATAAGCTGGCCACAAAAAGACAAATACTGTATCATTGCACTCACATAAGATAGTCAAATTCATAGAAAGAGAAAGAAGAATGGTGATTTGCCAGGGGCTAGAGGAGGGAGAAACAGTTGTTTAATGGTATAGATAGAGTTTCCATTTTGTAAGATGAAAAAGTTTTTGAGATTGGTTGCACAATGATGTGAATGTACTTCGTGCTACTGAACTGTACACTTAAAAATGGCTCAGATGATAATTTTGTTATGTGTGTTTTACCACAATTAAAAACATAAACAGTGGGGAAGATGGTAGCAAGATAGGTGGGAGTGGAGTCCACTTCCCCCTGCGCATGAGTGAAACACCTAGCTGATCTTCTGAGAAACACAGTGAACAGCCAACAGTATCCCATATATGAAGATTGGAGACCAAAAATTGTAGAGGATGTAACAGGGTGCAGCCAAGAGGGGGGCCCCAAATAGGGATTTGGAATGGGGTCCAGAACTCAGGGTGTCCGGGAAATATTAGGATGTCCTCACCCCCCCTCCCAACAGGTGTGGGTTGGAGGAAGGGACAAATGGAGCAGGGCAATTGAGAGCTGTTTTGCATAGCAACAGCCTTGTAGCTAACCTCTGGTGTGGTCATTTAACATATCTATAACCTTTAACTGGTTGCATAGATATGTTAAATAGCTGTGGCCATGCTTTGAGCCAGGGCAATGGAAGTAACTTCCTCACCAAGACATAACTGGGGGCAGGTCCCACAAGTCACAGCGCCTGCATGAGAGCTTGGAGATGACTGGCTCCATGACATGGGGCCACGCCTGCACAGACTCACCATGGCAGCCCAGTAAAGCTGGAAGGATATGAGAGTGCTGGCAAGTGTAGCCAATTGTGGGTGGAGTCAGAAATGGACCTGTAGAGGGAGATTGGTGCGGGGATTAAAAACTGAGAGCAGCAGCCACTGGGGAGTGAACCACACGGCTTTGGCAGAGTGGCGACCCCCCTCCTTGCAGCCATTGGAGGGGAGAACCACGTGGCTTTGCCAGAGTGGAGATTCTTGCAGCCATTGTGCAGAGAGGACCACTAGGCTATGGTGATAGAAAGGAGAGCCATGTGACTTTGCCAGAGTGGGGTCCCCTGCAGCTTTAGAAGGGGGAACCACCACCCAGCTTAAGCAGAGATCCTGGCAACACAGCTGATGGTGCTGGGAACCGAGGGAGGCCTACCAGCTGAGATGGATTACTGGGAAGAACTGGGGGCTGCCTAAGCCACAGGCTTTCTATTTCTTTTCCTGAGATATGGTACCCCAGACTGGCAAAGGGGGGAAGGAAGGACTGTGTGTATTTGTGGGTGTTTTAAGGGACTTTAGGATTTTTGATGAAGACATTAGGTCACCACTTTAAGTCTGTATAGCATTAAATAAACATTTCCTTTCGTTTTCACAAATCTCTGGCATTGAGAGATGTCGTTCCTATAACACGGCAGACATAACGGACCTGGGGGCTTCTTTCAGTAATAGTATATTGCCCTCGGATGCCCCCTGCTGTTGTTCTGTAACAAGGACATTGAAAAATCAGATGGTAAGGAGATTGCTTTGGGACAATAAGGTTCCTAGGACCAGTGCAGGGACCAGGAAGGCTGCAGCCCCAGGCCCAGTGCCCACTGGGTCTGCCGCAGGATTCTTGGGAGAAAGCCCAGTCAATGGCTCCCTCCCCTGCCAAACAAGATTTGAGCAGCACCAGGAGGGACCTGGATGCTTCAAGTCATAGCGGGGAAATAAGGATGAAGCGGCAAACATGCAGGAGCAGTGTGTATTCGCTGAGACTGTGGACGCCAACTGGGAAGTGTTGGGCAGTAACAGACCCTGACCCGGTTAGTCCCTGGTCTGGTTGGAGAGCTGGGCTGTGTGAGAGGCTAGGTGCTTGTTTGGAGCAGCAGGCTTGAACAGGAGAAATTTTTCAAAAAGCAAAAGAGATAAAAGAGGCATTCAGTGGCTGTTTGAGGAATGCTCCATAGCACCTGCCCCTGCCTCCTGCACCCCTACCCCTGCCAGGCTGCACCCTCACACCCAAAGCCCTGGAGACAGTGCATACCAGATCCCATGGCCCAGAAGCTGCCTGTTCTGCCCCAGCAGCAGAGGCTGAGTGCTCAGGCATACAGCCCTGGGACCAAGTGTGCCTGAGCCTGGTGCCCAGAGGCACCTTCCCCACCCAGCCCCTGCTGCCGGGGCCCTGCAGGGCCAACTCACTTGCTAAGAGGAAGGTGGAGAAAGGAAGGTGGAGACAACCCAACACAGGAGAGAGCTGCAGGGCTCAGGGAGTCAGGAATCCCCAAAAAGACTTAATTCAGTAAGGGTGCTGAACTACCCTAGAGGAACACTGAGAGTCCCTAGCATCTAGGACAGCAAAGAACTACAAGGTGGTGTGTGAGCTGCCCCTAATTGGTGTACCTCAAGGACAGCACAACTGGTGGACTGAAGGTGTAGGCTGGGCGCAGAAGGACACTGGGGGTCTGGGAGCAGGGAACTGAGGAACTGGGTTGGAGGCTGGGTGACTGTGAAGAGCGCAGCTCAAAAAGGGAGAAAAGCAAAACCAATCCTTCCTCAGCCTGCTATAGCCAGAAGACCAGGAGAACTGGCTTGGTGGTTTAAAGCCAGCAGAAGGCTTACAAATTTTTTTTTTTAATTCCTTCTTTCTTTCTTTCCTTAATTCTTTTTTTTTATTCCTTCTTACTTCCTTTTTTTTTTTAAATTCCCACAAGTGAGACAATCAGCTTGGAGCTGTGAAAAGACAAGAGGTAGATCCAAAGAGAGATCATTCCAATAACTGAAACAGTGAGACAAATTTCACTTTGCTACTCCAGAGAACTTGCAAGTTATTGTATATTCATATTATAATTATTTTCATTATTCTTACATCTTTTATTTTATAAGTATTTTTATATTTCTCTTCTTTCTGTTTAGACTTCTTTACTTGGTTAGTTGAATTGCATTGTTTGACTGGTTTCCCTTGTTCTCTTTCATAGTGTATTTTTAATTTTCCATCTTTCACTTCACTTGTGTTCCAGTAGCACACTACTCTAGGTCCTGTACTTCCTATTCTTGTTATTCAGATCACATAGATTCTGGCATATGATTGTTGATCCATTATTATTGTAAATAATTGCTGTTCCATATAATTGTAAATACTACACAACACCCCTCCCACATCTTAGCTCACTTCACTGTTTCCTGAACTTTAACTGTGGTGGTGAACTTTATTCTCTTGCACACTACACCTATTTTCTATCCTTTACTCTTACTTTACCTCATAATCTGACCTCATGGGAATGAGCTCACTGCTTTCTAGATCCAACTCAAAATCCTTCCTCCTCTCTAACAAGAGTCTTATCTTTTTTCCACCCTTTCTAAAAAGTGGCTAGTTGGGTAAAATATCACAGTTAACACTATACATATCCAAAGGATCTCCTATCTCTTTTCTATTGGTTGGTACTTTAAATACCATAGGATATACTCCTGCTGTCTTAAAACATTTTTCCTTCCCCCTCCAACTGATCACAAAAAAGAGTAGGTAGACAACTGATCACAAAAAAATTCCAGCAGGTCAACACCAGTATACCTCCTGGAAGAGGAAACCCACCAGCAAAGGAACCACCCACAGATAACAATGGAAGAAGGTGAAGGAGGGAGTGGAAGCCACACTAACATCAACCAAGGAATGATCTGGAAATACAACTAAATGGTGGAGAAATTGCCAAGAACAAATAACTGAACAAGAGTGGGAGGGAAGCCTCAAAACCTCATACGCAAAGAAGAATCAGCTTCAACACAACCTGTCCACACCTGCGCAACAGAATATAAGACATGGTGGATGGACTCACCCTCAGTTAACAGGCTGGAGGGAAGGACCCACCAAAGAAAGACCCAACAACAATCAAAGCTTACACACAGCCAACATAAATGACAGGCCAAGACAAGCTAGCTGAGGAGATCAAGGAAACTGCACCACTGAATCTCACAAGTCTTCTACCATAGAAATTGACACCATAAACCCAGGGAGGCAGAACAGATTAATTTAAGAAGCAGAGG